ATTATATGTATAACGCTAATGAAATTTCGGGAATTATCCACAATACGTTCTATGAAATAAAATTCACAGAAACTAATCATGTTTCTTTTACTTCTACTTTACAATGAAACATTTTTTTTCAATACCTACCAGGTGATTCTTATAGTTCCTCATGTCAATAACAAAACTTCCGGGTTAATGTACAATACGTTCTAATAAATTGAATTCACAGAAACTAATCATCTTTTTTTTACTTCCATTTTACAACACAATATTTTCTTACCATACGGTGATTCTTATAGGCCAATATTCAGAGTCGTTGCTTATTCTTAAGATCGCCGTAAGCATTTGCTTAAGTCCCTGTTTCCTGTACAAGACACGGATAGGAAATGCTTAAGACAATCTTAAATATAAGCAATGACTCTGAATACCGGCCATAGTTTCCCATGTCAGGAACGAATCCGGAAGTAAAAGTGTTCGATCACGTACCGTTTCCGAAAAATACCGATTTCTGTAAAAATGCATGACATTGGAAAAAATTAGGTATGACATGAAAACTAAGAGCGCCTGGAAGTTCATTGTTGAATCAACAGATAAAAAGGACTTTCCATAAATATTTCTATATTTTCCGTTCTCGTACTTTTTAATAATCCTTTGTATTTAATTGTTAAAGTTTCAACAAACCTGACGCGAATATTTTACACGTATTATTCCTGTATTTATGTGAAAATCCCTCTATCCGGGATTTGCTACAACACTGTTGGATTCAACAGAAATTTCTAACAATCAAATCATGTACAGAAACATATAATACTTCATTTTTCCTGAAACTCATGCTTCTTTACAAAAATCACTATTTTTTGGAAACGATACGCGAAAGCGTTATGTTCAGCAATTCTGTTTCCAGCACGAGAAACTTTATAAAAATAGCATAGTAGGTACTGCAAACAAATTAAAAATTAAATATGCTGTCACCTAGGGAAGAAGATTATTTTCTCCTCTGGACGACAAGCAATATGAATACTTAATAACGAACGTAATTGAACTCGTTATCGAGATAATGATTCAAATTAAAAGACTATCATAAGAAATTACATCGAACTGCAATACTTGATGTCATAATTTTTGTGTCATTATCGCTAATCGACAGACCAGGCTTCAATATATCCATATACTTCGCACAAATATTTTCACTCGGATCCTCTTTGAGGAAGCCTCAAAGATGATCCGAGTCCATCAATAACCGATAGATCTAAGAGGATGGACGACGAATTGACACCCTCGGCGGAAAGTAAAGTCGGTTTCTCTATGAATAGATATCCTATTTCGGAAGCCGAACTGTACCACGATCGAACAGTAATATTCCCAACAAACTCTTTTGAGCCCCGGCGGTCGCATCGAATATACATACATACGTATATTCAGTAAACATGAACGATTCTGGTTTAAATGAAATATTGCTAATTTCACGTGTGATCAATAATCGACGCATTTGCAATTACAGGCAATAAATAAATAATTGATGAAATTATCATTACGAGCATTAAATAAATAATTGTTCAAAAGCTTTCTGGACTTCTGATCCGCTTTCACGAGACTAAAAGCACACGGGATTAGACAGATCATCCTGAATGAGCGAGCAAATCATAATAGAAGCACATTATGAATGATTGCTACACTTCGCCAACGGAAAAGTGAAAAAGTAAGAAATCCTTGGTAAGTCCGCTATATAGATGCATAGTTAACGGTAATTACCCGTGTCGAAAGTGTGTGCGTAAAGGGAAAAAGGAGTTAGCAATATCGTAAACACGTCCGTGTGGCTCACAGCGCGCTGTGCAGTGTGCACCTGGGAGTACTTTCATTTGGAAATAAGGATTGTATGATGAGTGGCCACAGATGGCACGGAAAGATATGAGAATGGATTTTCGTACAGAGAGCTGATAAAAAACCGTGAAGAAGCTAGAAGTAGGTTGATGAATCAGAGACGGCATCGCGGAAAAAATGCGTCTACAGAGAGATGCCTGGTTTCTACTGATTTATAGCGCTAGATGTATCTGTAGTACTTATGTATTATCGTTATTCGCGATATACATATATATACAGGATGAGTCACTTCAAACATTGTGTTGCTCAAATATTGTATAACATATAATAATAAAATAATCATAAAAAATATTGTATTATATATAATAAGAGAATAATAATAAAATATATTGTATGATGTATAATAAATATTGTCGCACTTGAAATATCTGTGTTGTTTTTAAAGAAACGTAAAATGTCTTAAGGACAGAGTTGGTTGGTTCAATGGGGATAATACGATATCAAATAATTTTTGTTTCTTTAGTTTAGTTTAGTTAATAGTACCTTTGATATACATATTACGAAACAGCAATTCATCTGCTCATTGATGTGAATACTAAAAAGTATTAAGTTTTAATTAGCTTCTATAACATCAGTCGCGGACTAAAAGTATTATACAAACAGGAACGTTCACTTAGTGTACTTAAAAGCTTAGTCATTTAGTTTGACTTCCTTGCAGCACAAATTGTATTCAATTTGGTATTTAAGCATTGCAAACCACGAAATGTGATTATAAAGATTTCTACAGCCACCTGCATTAGTATCAACAATTCAATAAACCAATTCGAAGATTTAAAATAATGTGACTTTAAAAAAATACATCTTTATTATCAATTTATGTTGCATAAATTCTTAACGTTTCTATAATATATTTAATGAAAATTTAATGTGTATAACGTAAGGGTCGAATTTGTATTATAATGAAAAGCCAAATAGGAAATAATAATAGAATAATAGTAATAATAAGAGTAATAATAAAATCTAGTATCCTTATAAATACGAATTTAGCAGATCAGATAGAAATCAACTAACAATACCTCGTACTGGCACCTTTAACCGTCTGTATTTTTAAACTGGATAAAAGCAAGGTGAACGTCGGAGAACAAGAGGTGAAGCTCTTAAACCCTGAATTATTAAATACCGCTGGTACAATTACATTTAGTATAAAAAATATGGAGGCAGAACAAGATAATAGATCCATTTTTAATGAGGAGACACTTAGCGAGATCGTGCACGCGTTCAAAAAATTTCGACCCGACTCTATCCTGACGATGTAACAGGCCAGCATGCGACATCAAAAGCAAAGCTTCTCAGCAATGCACAAAGCGTTATCCCCTTATACACTCGAGTGTAATGCGGTACATAATCTATAATGCATTTATGTGAAGTGACTAAATAATTCCGTAATTTCAAATGTTCCTAACATCATTTTCATTCAAGCGTTATCACTCTTTTAAAGGACATCTAATAATATCGATCTCGGTATGAAACGATAAACAAATCATCTGATAAACTGTTATAAATAAATGTAATTCCTCAAATTGTATTTCAATGAAATGTAAATTGTATGTTTACTGTTTGATTCGATGACTGGTAAACAGCAAATGAAAATCATTCCACTTTTGCTGTATTAATAATTATATCCAGTATTTTATAAATACGACAATCCATATTAATTTATAATGAATGTTTCCTTCAAAGTTTATGTCAGATTAAAAGCAAGCAAAGGGGTGTAATTATTTTTGACTGTCGAAGAACGAGATGCACCTATTTCTTTTTAAACCTTAATCGAAACGATGCTTTCTATGAATACACACTTTCTAGTTTTGTGTACACAACTGTTGAACAATTGTAGAATAATTACGATTTTCCTGTGCGAGTCATTCGAATCGTATGCGCCCTAACGATGGTAGATGACAGGAAACACCGAGTCCTTACCTGATGAAAGTCGAGTCCGCCGCAGGACTCGAGGATCTTGGTGAGGAACTCGCGGTGGACGCTGTATTGGTCTCCTCCACATCCATCATCATTCATACCGACAATGATAAATCAATGCGAACGACGGAAATTAACGGTGGATCGTTTTTAACGAAAAACGGCGTGAATCAAAATCGGAACGTGGGGAATGTTTTACGGAGGATATGAGCGATATCACGTCAGTCCCGCCAGTCTCTGAGTCCGATCCCGCGGGGGGGCAGAAACCATAAAGTTCGGGGAACTTGACAAAAGGGTTGGGGGTTGGTTTCATGCGCCCGTCCACGAGCGCGGACTTACGGGAAACAACTGGCAAACGACGATACCCCCACTGTCTGGCCAACCACTGTGCGGCGCCTAGAACCCTGCGCCGTCGACACCTGCCGCGCAAGGACGTTATCATCGCGCAGGCGTCACACCCCGAAGTCCTTGGTTGCTGTAAAATTAAAAAAGGAAGAAACGAAAGTAGATGCACTTACTGCTACACTTTCGGCTACTCATATTTTTCAATCCAAAGGCTTTTGGAAATTCTATTGGTTTTTATGTGACTCTACGATATCTGATATCTATGAATCTCTTACGATATTCTTTATACACGTTTTAATTAAAAAAAAAAATAACTAGAGTAGTATGATTTATAGAGCCAAAGTAACATTTTAATTAAAGTTAATTTTGATAACAAAAAACTGATCAAAATTTTGCTATTTAGTATTACTGGTCATGCATATATTTTACAATTTAATAATTATTAGTATAATTA